CTAAATTTACTGGCTTGCTGAAAATTATATCATACATTGGATGTTGTGGTGGCTTGAAAAATGGTTCCCACAGGATGTTTGCGACCTGATCCTGTTACCTTTTCAACCTGGGAATCTCAGTGCAGTCACAAGTATCTTGTAAAAGAGAGGCAGAGATTTGACACACAGGAGAGAGTAAAAATGAAGACTGAGCCAGACACGATCATGATGCAGCCCGGGAAAGTCACACAGATAAGGAAGCAGCAGGCACGTAGAAGTACATAGTGTTGCTGTTACTTAGAGCACGGGTGTGTTAATTGCTCCTTTTGCAGATTGCTGTGATCCACACCTGGCATTAAATAAAGAGGGGGCGCTGAAGCTGGGCGTGGTAGCGCATGCCTGTAATTAAAGAAAAGAAAACAAGTGTTCAGCCCTTCTTTCTATAATCATCCTTAAAGACTGAGGCAGGAGGATGGAGAGTCCAAAGCCAGCCTGGGCTACAGTGAGGCCCTATTTCAAAAAGTGGGGGTGCACTAGCCTGGCATGGCTGTTCCTGTGGAAACGCTTGTGTCTAGGAAGAGCTTCTGCAAGGACTTGCACCTCTTGGTGCCTTTTGAATATTTGAAGGCTTCCAAAAGGACAAGACATGGGCTGAAGCAAAGCAAACCAGCTTCACTGTAACTATACTTGAACTTGTCTTTCTGATCAAGGAATGAATGGGATGGTGGGTGGAGCCCTGGGCATGTCAAGCATGGAATGCTGCTTTCTAAGAGGTGTTCAGAACATGTTTGTTCATTGTCCCAGCAAACACTGCTGCCAGGGCCTGTGTGGTGCAGAATCCCGCCAAGGCCCAACAAAGTGTACACCTCAGACGAGAAGCTTGCTAACAGTAAGCATTGAGTATCTGGAGCTCGTGGAGCCTAACCAGGCCTTGTCTGCGTTACTCATGCTCCCGGGAGGTGATGTACGTTACAGAGAAGAAAGCAAATGCTCAGCTACTTCTTGCTGTTTTTGCAGCTGTGGCTACTGGAACTCCCTTCCGTCCCCATGCCCTGGTCCCACAGGCACCACTTTCAGAGTGGCTGACTGTCATTAGTCAGCTCCCTGGTCCTCTGCCCCATCCCCACACCCTCCTTCAGGTACCAGGTCATGGGGGTGGGGGTTGATGTCACTCATTTTCTTCTTTCCATACCTCCTTGGTGTCACATTTGAGGTATTTCACCTGCTATGGTCCAGGCTGCCCAACTGGGTTCCTGGTTTGGGGCCATGAAAATGACAAGGGTCAAACTGCATCTGAACCTAGCCCAGAGCTGATGGAACTGATTATAAATGACCACCATGGCCTTGGCTGCCATGGTGCTCTTTCCTGAGCATGCATCCTGCCTGTCCTTTCATCCTGGTGACCACACTGTGGTGTAGGTCCTCATATCCCCACTGTATGGATGAGAGAGACTCAGAGGTTACCCACGTTCTGCCTGGTCACACATGACACGAGGTGGCACAAGGAGCTGGGTATTGCCTGGGCAAGATGTGGAGTGGAATCACTGTCTGCTCACACAGGGCCACCAGCGGGTCAAAGTCCACATTTTATAAGAAGACTTACAATCAAGTTTCCAGGGAGGAGCACAGAAGAGCACAACTCCAGAGACAGATGGAGTCCCAGAAGAAAAGCCCAAGGGAACGTCCTGTGGGGTAGCAGTTCTGGCTGACCCAGTCTCCAAAAAGGCGTCAGTGCTTTTAGGAAAGGCGTTCCTATGCGTGTGTACTACCCCGGGTGTCACAGAATCTTCAATTAAAAGTGGATTTTTATCCCAATTCCAACCTCACAGCCAAGGAGTACTAACTGAAATACTTAAGGATGACGTTTAGTCAGGACAGGCACAGGACGCACTTCCATCCTGCCATGGCGCTACTGACCTTGAGGAAGAGGAATGTCAAAGCTGAGTGTGAAGGGGACCTGGCGTCACAATTCCACCAAGATGGGCAGTGAGGAGACAGGGCCGGCTGCCTGCCTGCTGTTCTCCTGTAGTGGTGCTCAGACTGTCCCATGGGAGTGGGCCTTGGACCATTCCCTGGAAGACCCCAGACTGACTCAACCTGCCTGGGGCTGGCACGGCATCTATGAGATGAACAAGCCCTGTCCCCTGCTGTATGGTCAGGTTTGAAAACAGGTGTCCTTGCTTTTCCAGCCCCACCTTACTGACCTGTACCCCCTTTGGAAGACAAAAGTCACCTTTGGAGGATGAGGTCACTTCCTCATCCTCCTCTTAATCTTCTCCAACAATATGGAACCCCAGACCCACCTTCTCCTGGGGCGACTGGGCCTAAGGAGTTGTGAGAAACTGAGGGCAGGGATGGAAACCAGGGCAAGCTTGAGCCTTTTTACAGCTCCTTCACACCACAGGACTTCCTTCTTTAAAAGCTCTGATGGTCTTTCACCACACTGAGCCAGAAGTGTCTTCTAAACAGATCTGAACCAGCCCAGCCATGACTGCTAACCCCATGGCACACTGAGTTATGCTTTTCTTCTGGGACTCTTAATTGTCCCTGGAGTCTTGGTCTCTTCTGTGTACTCTCTCCCCCTGCACCTGCGACCACTCTTCTATGCCCTGCTGCTGTGAGGTTGGCTATTTGAATTCCATATATAAATGAGATCATGTTTGCCTGTGTCTGGCTTATGTCACTTCATCTGACAACTTCCAGGGTTGTCTATGTTGTCCAAAATGGAAGGCTCTCCTGGTTTGAACTCATGATCCTTCTGCCTTAGCCTCCCCAGTGCTGGCATTACAGGTATGCACCATCATCCCTGTCTAGTCGCCTTTTTTTAAGGTTAAATAATATCCCAGTGTGTGTGTGTACATGTGTGCACACATATGCACATTTTTCCTTTGTCCAGTGTATATGAATATCTACATATCAAATTGTACAGCATAAATATAGAAATATATGTGGTTTTTATTTTTAATTATACCTCAATAAAGCTGAAAACAAAGCCAGAAGCCTAGGGGGGTTTGAGGGAAGAGCTCTTGCTGGAGAAGCCAGGAGTAGAGACTCAGGATGGTGAGGTGTGGGGCCTCCTGCCCGGAGTTACTTGTCATGAGTCTCAGTCTCCCTTTATTGTGAAAAGAATATAATCTTTCTCTATCCTGGAGTCATTTTAAGAAGTAACAGAGATGATGTATGTACAATGCTTAGGGTAGTTCCTGACATTCTAGAAGCTTCTTTAATCTCCATAACTGGAAGCCACAAACTCCCAAACCAGTGAGCATAAAGTTTGGTCATTTGTTCTCCTGACAAACACTTGAGTCTACATAGTCTCTACATGTTAAGGACAGAGTCTTTATTTGACTTTTTCCGTCTTTATTACTGGCATCTTTTAAGTCTTGTTTTGATTAGTCTAAAATGTGTGCACCCATGCATACACATAGGAAGTCTTTTAAACTGTTGCATCATACCTGACATAAATACAAGATAAAAACCTAAAAATAAATGACACCTAGTAAAGGTGGGCTGCTTATTTTACACAGGGAAAACCAAAACATAAAAACGTAAATGTCCCACCTCTGGTCACCTTGCCAGTTCTGAGCTAGGTCTGCAGCTGTATCCCTTTAAAGCTGTGTGTGCCCTGGGTGTGGACAGACCCACTGAACAGGCCAGTCTTGGGCTGGGGGTAGCCTGGGAACATCCTGCCAGTGGTTAAGAGCAGCAATAGCCTGGAGTTTAGCTTTAGCCTTGGAATCAGCCAAGCCTGCGGTCTAGCCTTGGCTTAGGAAGGCCACATGTTTCACCATTGTTTCTGGAACTCCTACTTGTGTATGATTAGTGATCTGTGATCACATGGCTTACCACTCTGCCTCTGCATTGTTACATCAATAACGAAAGTGGTGTCACCTGGATTTATCGCTGACACCAGAACATTCGCTCTCAAATATAGCATACAGTTCAGATGTAGCTTGGAAGAAAAGATTTCCTTATCTGCTTTGTGTGTTAAGATTCTATCAATCTGTACAAAGTAACTCTATATTTACTGTTGCAAGAACAAAATTCTCTAACAATGAGGTTAAAAGAAGCTGCTATTCATCTCCCCCAAAAAAGTTAACAACTTTTAGATAAATAGGGATACAGATGACAATGACCACTGAATATTATGAAAAGGTGCTCACTAAATACTTTCAGGAAGAATAGTGTAATAGCCTTGTTTTTTTGCAGCACTGGGGTTTGAACTCAGGTCTTCACACTTGCGAGGCAGGCACTCTTACACTTGAGCCACTCCGCCAGCTCTAAGAAAAGTGTAGAATCCTTTTAAAACCAACTAGTTTGGGAAAATTAAATAATACATGGCAGAATAATGGAAAATAGAATTTATTATAAATCTTTATAGAGTTGTTTTGGATACTAAATTTATAATATTAAGCAAAATAACCTGCAAGAATTCTATTACATTTTTAGCAGTTTACCTCCATTATGGTCCATGATGCTCGCATCTCTTTAGGACTGGATTTAGAATTGTGACTGTGCAGTGCCTTGGAATCTAGCAGCAGAATGCTGATTGAGACTCCCTGAGCTGAAATGGCAAACTTTAAACATTTAGCCCAATTTTCAACAATAAACTGTAATTATATTTTGTAAATCAAGTTTCAGATTTGTTCAGTGTCCCAGAATTCACTCCAGGTGGTGCTTGTACTTTCACTCGGGCTCTTGCCCGAGGTCAGCATTAATCCCCACAGCCTTTCAGCCTGTGGGAGAGGGAACCCCCCTACCCCACCCCTTCATTTCCCTTTTCTTCCCACCTGTGCTGCCCTTAGTGGGAAAAGCCATGATTTCCAGCCCTGTGTAGACAGGAAAACTGAGCAGGATTGAAACTCAGATCTTGCGAGGGTTCTCCTGGATACAGCTAGGAGCTGGTCTTGGGATGGCTGGGCCCATGGCTTCCCTATGGCAGGGACTCTGGGGACATTCAGAAGTGAGGGGCAGAGGATCATCTCTCACACGTCCTCTCTGTCTATCTCTTGTCCCAACAGTTTGTGAAGTTCGCCAACATCGAGGAGGACACCCCATCCTATCATCGGAGCTATGACTTCTTTGTGTCCCGATTCAGTGAAATGTGCCACTCAAGCCACGATGACTTGGAAATCAAGACTAAGTTAGTAGGGGGAGGCGAGGGGCCTGCTCGGCTCCTCAGCAGAAGCATAAAGGGGTTCTGGGGAACTCCCAGCCTGGGCTGGCCTGTCTGCTTTCCTTCTGCTCTGAGTTGCAGGGAGGAGGAGCCGTGGCTGCACGTGTGTGGGTGGGTGACGGGTATCATGGGGCTCCCAACAAGATAAACCTTTTGGGCCAGAAAACAGGGCACAATGTAAGATAATGCTCCCTTGAGCCCAACCTGAGCCAAGGGCAGAAACATACACTACTCCCCTATTCAAAAGCATATGTATTTATATACTCCAGAAACTAGCCACTAAAAGTATCCAGCCAAATCTACACCCACCAATAAAGAACCGGGGTCCTGAACTGGCAGAGTGGCTCAAGCAGTAGAGCACCTGCCTAGCAAGCATGAAGTCCTATGTTCAAACCCCAGTAACCACCAACAAAAAAAGTGCCCAGGTCTTCACACTGGTTGATCCCCACTGCCTTTCTTACTTCACCTCTACCCTCCCTCTTGCTCACTCCCCTCCAGCCGCAGTTCTCAAAGCCCTCAGAGACCTTCCTGCCCCAGGGCTTTTGCACAGTCTGGAAGGCTTTCTCTATGGATCTGCACTGCTTACTGCTTCCCCTCCACCGAGGCTTTCCCCTATGCCCTCATCAGTGAAGCCTACCTGAAGTGCCCCACATCCCACACCCCTTCTCCTGCACCCTGCTCAATCCCTTTTAACACATTGCCTAGAGTCCTTCCCATAGCTCTTATTGTCTGTCTCTCCCTCTGGAATGCAAGTTGTGGGAAGACAGGGGTCGTTTTGTTCTTTGATGCATCCCAAATGCTAAAATAGTGGCGAGACTGCAGATGCTGTGTGTGGAGTGAATAACTGAGTGAATGCTTTCAGATAAACATCTTGAATTACAGAATATACCTGTATACCCACATACTGAAGTTATAAAAATACTTAACTTGCAGAGAGTTAGAGTAGCAAAGCCTCTCAAACGAAATCACAAAGAAATTAAAAGGAGTAATGCTGACACCGACATACAAAGCATGCCAGGCACACTCAGGCTGATGCATCCGTTAAGATACAATGAAGCAGTAAATAGGTGTTTTGTGCCTAGTGAGGTCCTTGGAACTGTAGGATGTAAAAAAAGTAAGTAAGTCTGTCTGCAGAGTAAGCTGCCAATACCACAGGACTATATGAAACTGGAGAATGTGCTTAAGGAAGAAGGAGAGGGAGAAAGGTCAAGTTGTCCGCACCAAGCAAGGCTACAGGAGGGTTGGAGGAGGTGGAGGCAGGGACTGAAGTGGTCACATGGCCAGCATGCCAATGGTAGGCCACTTCTCAGTTTGCTGGTTCCAGGCCTCAGCTCAGTCCTTCAGCACACCAGCCCCTCAGAGGGGTCACAGAACTACAGGGTCAAGGATCCGAGTTGCCCTTTTATGACTGAAGTGATCTGGGCTGGAGGAACAGGAAATGAGTCCTATCTGCGGAGGTAGTGGAAGGACTCCTGAGCAGATCCCAGGGATGGGATGGCAGGGCCAGGGACCCCTTGGTCTCTGAGACCTCACTTGAACCAGGTGCGGATACTGGGGGACTGTGCTGCCTGCATGTCATCCCCAGGACAGAAAACACACATACACATGGTCCATGGTGAGGGGCGTGGTCAGTACTGTGTTCCAGCAGCACCAGGAGTAACCATGAAGAAGGATGCTGAGGTCTGCCCCCCGGCAGCCAGGCAGTGCCATTAGCACCCACACTGGCACCTGTCACCCATGACAGGAAGGCCACAGGGTGAGTGTAGGGGATCTCCTGGCATCACCACCATCTTTCTTCCTCTCTCTTCTGTGCCATCTGTGTACCCTCTCTTCCCTGTTGGTCATCCTCTGCTTATGCAGAGCCTCTAATGGAGGCAGGTGCATTGAGCATTCCATCCACAAACATCGCTTTGCTGTGGAAGTCCAGAGCAGGCCTCAGTGCTGTTGGCTCCTCTCAGAGAACATGCTCCATGATGGGGATGAATGTGTGCATGTGTGTGTGTGCCAGAGACCAGTGTTCTCTGAATTCCCCTTGGGTTCAGAGACTTGTGGGTCCCTTGTACCTGGGCAGTACTCAAGTGAGCCCATTAAATGAAACAGGAAGGTGTTTTCTCTTTCCCAAGAGTGATTTTTGAAAGAGTTGGTCAGTCCTGGGTGTCATGGAATGAAATGTGTGCAGACGTGGTGGGATCACGGGGAGATTGAAGGAGTGAGGGCAGGTAGTTCAAAGAAAAATTAATTCACAGGTGCCGGGGGCAGAGATCAGGGGTAAAGTACCTGCCTAGCATGTCCTATATTTAAATTTATTTTTACTTATGTTTATATATATATATATATATATATATATATATATATATATACATGTATATATACACATATGTTCACACACAAATATGTATATATTTATATATAAATATTATTTATAAATATATATAAATATTATTTATATATTATATAATATATATATATTCACATACAAAAAGCTCTGGGCAGGGATTTCCCCACCTGAGCCTGGTTTCTTGCTAGACAGGCCCTCTTGGGTGAGACCAGTGAGTCTGCGTGTTTGGTGCGTGCTTTGGTTGTGCATTAGAAAGCCTTTGAACCTGGAGCAAGACGGTGAGTGGAATAGATGGTTCATCCTCAAGTCTGGAAAGCCTCTGGTGCTGGGTCATGAATGAGGGGGGTCAGTGTCAGAGGAACCAAGGAATCCTTGGTTTCCCAGGGAATCTTGCCCATGGCATCAACCCTGAGCCAGGGGATCCTTGTGCTTTTGAACTCCTGCCCCCCCCACCATGATGGTCACCCAGATGGCCCAGGGTTTACCCTAGTAATGCCACTTAAAACCAAAGCTGAGCTGGGTGCTGGTGGCTCATGTCTGTAACCCTAGCTACTTGGGAAGCTGATATAGAGAGGATCTCCCTTCAGGGCCAGCCCAGGCAAATAACCAGATCAAAAACTGGAGGTGTGGCTCAAGTGGTAAAGCACCTGCTTTGCAAGGTCTGAATCCAAATCCTGGTTCCACCAAAAAACAAACAAAAAAACCCTACAACTAGCAACTAAACACTTAGAAAAACTAACTTCTAAACTCTAAGGATGTGAACTGAAATAGCCAGAAGATGTGAGGATTGTTCCGAGCCATAAAATGAGAACAGATGCTTAAAATGGGGTCCTTAGGGCCAGGACGGTGGCAATTCTCCTGCAGCTTTGAGGTGTGTGTGGAGGGTTGTAATCAGACAATATGATGTCTGTCATAGCATTATAGTAGCAAAAAGTTTGGAAGCAACTTAGGAAGTTTTTAGGATAGCATATCATGCAGCCATCCAACATGTTTATCAAGAGCAAATCAGAAGCCAGGCACTGGTGGCTGACGCCTGTAATCCTAGCTACTCGGGAGGCAGAGATCAGGAGGATGTGTTTGAAGCCAGTCCTGGGCAAATAGTATATGAGAGCCTATCTCAAAAATACCCAATGTTAAAAAGGACTGGCAGAGTGGCTCGAGTAGTAGAGTGTCTGCCTAGCAAGCGTGAGGACCTGAGTTCAAACCCCAGTACTGCAAGAAAAAAAAAAAAAGTTAATCAGAAAATGCTTATAGCAGAATGTTATGTGGGAAAAAATGCACCTAGTTCTAATTCTGCCCCACATTATGCACAAAAGAAAGGAAAGACGCCCAAAATGCCGGTGATGGTCATATTTGAGGGGTGATGCTAGGGGAAATTTTTCTTCCCTATATATTTTTTAATTAGCACTTATTATTTTATAATCAGAAAAAAAATTTAAAGAGAACAACAGAAACTTCAGGCTGAAATAAATGGGCAGTAAAATGGATTCCTTCCCACAGTGCTAGCACGGAAGGTTATGAAAGGGATCCCCGGCAAGCTGTTACTGAATTTCCCTTTGGTTTCTTGACCAGCTTAGGGCCAGCCCCGACCCTTTGTGCCCAGAGAGCCTGTAGCTCAGTGTAACCTGTAGATGCACCTCCCTGCTCTGAGTTGCTACGGGCTCTGGACTCTGCCTCGCTGTTAGCTCTGCTATCTTGGGCTTAAACTGGAGCATACCGGCATCCTAGTGGAGCTCAGGCAGTACCAGGGCAAGAGCAGTCTGGGAGTCTCCAGGAAGAGCCATAAGAAGTGGTTCCCTGGGACATGTCCACCCTCTCCAGAAGCCAAGCAGTAGGTCAAACTTGTGAGGAGGAGCAGATACGCTCCCTCTACCTTTGTATGGATGAATGTGGCCCGAACCCCCAAACTGTGCTCCTCTGCTGGCCACAGAGCTGTACTTTTCAGGACCTGAGGACTTCACGATACCATTCCACCCTTTCCTTGCAGAATCCGGATGTCAGGTATCAAAGGTCTGCAAGGCGTGGTGAGGAAGACGGTGAATGATGAATTACAGGCCAATATCTGGGACCCACAGCACATGGACAAGATCGTCCCTTCACTGCTTTTCAATCTGCAGCACGTGGAGGAGGCAGAGAGGTAGGCAGGCCAGTGTTAGGAGGCTGCCTCCGGGCTACTGGAAAACACCTGGGGTGGGCCGGAAGGCAAGGCCCAGCTACAGGCCAGGAATCAATCATTTGTGGCTTGTTCTGCAATAATTCCAGAGCTAGCTGCCCCCCTTCACCTCTGTGATAATGAAGCAAGGGCATGAATGACCATGGACTCCCTGGGGGTGGGAGGTTGCTGCTTAGAACACAAAGGATCAAGGGTAGGTTTACCTTTGTCACTCTGGCCAAGGATGTTTAAAATGCCTTTCATGACTCCCAAGCACTAAGGACTTTCTCTTTGGACCTTCCTTCCTTACTTCCTGATGCTATTTCAGGCCTCAAACCCATAACTGCTTGACCAGTCACAGCCACTCAAGGGTTGCAGATATTGGGTTTTAATCCTGGCGCCCCCAAGCATAGAATTAATTTCCTTCCCTGCCTCTTCCTTTTCCCTGTGGAATGGGATGGCGGGAAAGGATCATGTCCCACCTGTGTGCATGATACCCAGTAAAGATGTGAACTTCCTTATCTCACTGTCAGTTGGGTCTCTGCTGATAAACTGGCAGAGGAATGAAGTGTGCCCTCTGGTGGTTGTTTCTGTAATAGCATCTCATTGACACCCTACCCTGCTGTGGTCTCTGGACCTGGAGTTTTTGAGGCCCTTTCTGTTCTGTTCAGATCTGGATCCACTACCTATGACTTAGGTACCATTGAGTCACACCGAAACCAACCATCATACCATTCCTTTTCCCTCCCTCTCTTTCATTTTCTGACTGCCTCCCTTCCCTCTCTTCAGATCCCATTTTTCCTTCTGAACCCTCAGGTGTGTGGAGACCCTCATGGTCTGCACCGAACCCAGCCATGGTGCTTAGAGTCCCCTCCCACAGAAGCACACCAATGTAGCCTTAAGAATTTCCAGAAAAGGAACTCTATCCCATCTCACCTAACCTTCCTCCACTCTGGGTTTCCTCACTCCATTTCATTTCTGATAGCCATGACGTCTCCATGTTTCCTGGTGCAACCTATGTCAAATTCCTGCTTGTCCCACATAGAAACCTAGGGGTGCATGCAGCCTGGCTCCCAGCTTTGCACCCCATGTGGCTCTATTTCCACAGCCGGTCTCCCTCGCCCCTCCAAGCACCGGAGAAAGAAAAAGAAAACCCAGCAGAGCTGGCTGAGAGGTGTCTGCGGGAGCTGCTGGGCCGGGCTGCCTTTGGCAATATTAAGAATGCCATCAAGCCTGTCCTCATGTGAGTTGAGTGCCCTGGTCTTCAAATTCTGTAGGTCCAGGCGTCTCCTGCTGACTCAGGAGGAGGGAAGGAAAGAGCACCATTGTGAAGCTGTGGCCACATCAGGCCCTTTCTTGTGCTTGTGTTCCCTGCACTATGACAGCAAAGCTATCACACAGTGGCCCCATGCATTTGGGGTGAGAAGTTGGGAGAAGGGCACCTGAAACAGAATGAAGGTGCCCAACTTCATATCATGTGTTCAGCTCAGACCCTGTGCTGACCTCCTCTAGCTCTGGGGCTGCTCTGAGGTCCTTCATGATTCCCTCTCTCACCTACACCTGTAAGCCCTTCCTCCCTTACCTGGGAAATGCAAGGGGCTCTCAAGGTGTCTCTGTCCCTCCAAGCTAATCTCACCTCTCTAACATCACTCTGAGTTCGTAGTCATCCCTATGTTTTCTTCTTCACAGCCATCTGGATAACCACTGTCTTTGGGAACCCAAGGTGTTCGCTATCCGTTGCTTTAAAATCATCATGTACTCAATTCAGGTAGGGTCCCCTGGTCCAGCTCTTCTCCCTGGCTGAGGGCACCGAAGACAGTGCACTAAAGTAGAAAGGCAGCTGTCCTGTGACTTCTCCTGAGCCCCTAGTTTTCTAAAACAGAGCTGCTTCAACTAATTGTTGAGAAGGGCCAGTTGATTTTATTTCTAGTACATCATAAACTAGTACTTTTATCAAATACAGTGAAAAAGAATTCAACTTGAGAAGTATAAGCAGCCCATAGATCACACCCCTGGCTGCTGAAGCATTGTCAAATTACTGGTGTGTACTTATCTCCTAGTAAACCGTTTCAAACAGATCTTGAGTTGGCACTGGTCCACAGGCTGCACTTCCAGCAACACTGTACTAAATAAACCATGTGGCCTTTCATGATCTTTGCCAATAAGCCCTGGGGACAGGGGAAAATGAAAAAGACAATATTTTGAAATGGACTTTTGGTCCCTTTGACATAAAAGAGACTAGGAAAAATGTGGAAAGATGGATGTATTGGGATTCGACCCTGTCCTTGTTGGCCTGCCTGAGGGCTGGGTGGGCTGCAAGAAAGAACGTGGTATGGGTGCCACCAGCAGTGTCCATTGGCCTTGGAACATCACTTTGGTTTACTTCTGGCCCCTTGGGTCACAGCAGAGGGTGCCTGGCCACGTGGGGGTCGCTGTTTGGGGACCAGCACGTCTTCCTCCCCCCAGCCGCAGCACTCCCACCTGGTTATCCAGCAGCTCCTGAGCCACCTGGACGCCAACAGCCGCAGCGCCGCAACTGTGCGCGCCGGCATCGTGGAGGTCCTGTCGGAAGCTGCGGTCATCGCCGCCACTGGCTCTGTTGGTGAGGGGCCCCTGAGCGAGGGAAAGAGGGGTCCGGGAGCCCTGAGGACAAAGAACTGCCCTTGTAGGCCGCCTCCCCAGTGGGAAAAGGCGAGGGGCAGGAGTGAGCGTCTGATTTGCTAGAAGCAGGTGGTTGGCCGATGTCCCTGGCTGCACGTGGGTTTGAGGGTGCATGAGGGGGTTCAGCCCTGACTGCGGCTCTCCAACCCCGCTGCGCCTAGGGCCCACGGTGCTGGAGATGTTCAACACCCTGCTGAGGCAGCTGCGGCTCAGCATCGACTACGCCTTGACCGGGAGCTACGACGGGGCCTTGAGCCTTGGCACCAAGATCATCAAGGAGCACGAGGAGCGCATGTTCCAGGAGGCAGTCATCAAGACCATAGGTAGGTGGGGGCGGGGCCGGGCGGGGCGCGGCGTGGGGAGGGGCCGAGAAGCAGGACCCTAGGTGAACTGGGGACTGGGTGAAGCCTGGGAAGAGGTCTGGCCAGAGGGGTGGAGCCCAGACCGAGAGGAAGCAGGCGGGGCAGAGCCTCTCCGGGGCATCTTGTCACTCGAGGAGTGTGTCTGTGGGGAAACCACACAAAACGGAGTCAGGCAGTCAGTGGTGCCCACGGCCTGGATGAGCACACAAGACAATCCGCATGGCGATCCGGCCAGGACTTCCGAACTCTTCCTGCTCCCCAGTCCTCAATAAGCCTGCCAGGTGCCTCCAGGTTTGGACCAGTGGGGGTCATGTGGGGACTCAGGGAGAAAAGAGGAAAGGGAGAAGGACGTGGAGACCATATGTATGCATGTGGGTTTGGAGAAGTATAAAGCCACCCCAGGTGAAGGATGGGCTTATCTTCAGAGCAAACCTGTCCTAGTGCCATTGACTCCCCTCATCTTTGTGAAGTAGGCAGGGCAGGGGTGATGGAGCTACCCAGCAACTCAGCAGGTGAAGCAGCCTAGTGAGACCCTGGGGCTCCTGGTCTGGTCTGTGGCCTGTCATTCTCCATCTCACCCTTCCTGAGTAAAGAATCCCAGGCCTTAACCCTAGTCTCAGTGACAAGTGAAGGAGCCAGAGTAGAAGAGGCCTCTGGAGTCCTCTCAGTGCCCCTGTCTTGGAGAGGCAGAATCACATTGACCCAGCCTGGGCAGTCTGTCTGGATCCACATTGGATCTGGACAGCCACAAGCCTGTCTCTCGGCCACAGCTCATTCTTCCGAAAGGCTGAGCAGGGGAGGCCGGCCAACACTTTGTGCCATCTTTTCCCCACAGGCTCCTTTGCCAGCACATTGCCCACTTATCAGCGCTCGGAAGTGATTCTTTTCATCATGAGCAAGGTCCCACTACCTTCCCTGCATCACCCTGTGGAGACTGGGAGGACAGGGTGAGTCCCCTGCCCTCTCCCAACCTAGACTCCTCCTACTTTCCCCCTCCCATGCTTCTGGGGTTTCTCAAACTGCCCCACATAATCACCCCCTCCACCCCCATTAGGGGGAGTCATTAATTACCTGGTCTGCTTCCTGGGGCTGGAAATCACTATCATGGGAAACCCAACAAGATTAGCCTCATGGAGAAACTCGTCAGAGGGAAAACTGAGCAACAGGTGTGAGGTCCTGTCCCCATCTCCATCCTGGTATGTGTGTTTCTCTGGTGTACAGGGAGAACCGGAACCGGCTGACCCAGATTATGCTGCTGAAATCCCTCCTTCAGGTGAGTCCCTCTGACTCCCACTCCTTCCCTGTCTCTTCCAGGAGACCAAGAGAAGGCCCCCATGTCTAGTCACACACGTTGCATACTGTACAAATATGCCCAACCAAAAGGGTGAGTGAGAAGCTGAAATCCAGCCTGTGCTTCATTCTGGGCACTCACAGAACTGGGTCTTCCAGAGTAGGGTGGACCCCTAATGTTTCATTTTCATAAAGGCTCCTTATTGGCTACCAGTAATCCTGTCACTCAAACTTTATATGGCTTGAGATGGAATCTATTGGCTCCAGACCTTTTTCCCCTCCTGGTAGCCCATACCAGGTCCTCTCCCTCTCTGCTTCACATGATTCCCTTTTGGCACTGTGCCCATCTCATCTCCCAGCTGCCATCTTTCTCTTCAGTGTTTTATACGCCTCTTTGCATCTTTGCAACCATCACTGGAGTCTAGATGCACTGTTCCCAAACACCATTCCCATGGCCAACTGGTTAAAATCCATAAGCTTCCAAGAGATTGTCAGCGTGAGTGCTGAATGAAATCTGTATACAAGCTCCCCAGGTATTCATGCCCAGTCCTGTCCTAAACTCTGGACATCACATAACTAGATTATTCCCATAGTAGTTGTTCTCATCGCCATCTTTCAACTATCATAAATAAAACAAGAACTTTTTAGAAATGCCGTTCCCCAGGATTGCCCCTTATTTCAGAGTAGGTCTCAGTCGCGGTCTCTAATGCCTGAACATGCTAGAGCGAAGTTGGAAGGTCCCCAGGACCCTTTCTCTCTTGAGACTTTCTATCCCACCACTCAGGCCCTGACTGTGTTCCAGCCATGCCAATCTGGACAGTCCCCTCACTGCCATGTCCCATCCTTCACTTTTCATGTCATTGTGGTTTGTTTGTTTGTTTGGGTGATTTGGTTTGGTTTGGTGGTGCTGAAACCCAAGCCCTCATGCATGCTGTGTACGTGCTCCACCACTGCACTGAGCTACCCTGCCCCTATCCTGTCACTTTTATAAAGCCCTTTTGCTCTGACACTACCCCATCTGGTAATATAGTTATCTCCTTGTTGGTCATCTTCCTGCCATTTGTTTTCTGTTTACCCTCATTTTTTTGTGCACAGTGTCTTATTAAGCTGACAGTTTGAGGCACACTCACATACACCCCCTTGAACAAGCACTGGTTGCTCACCGTTGATACTCCTGGGTGAGGCCTTCTGGGTTTTATTTTGTTTTTTATTTTATTCATATGTGCATACAATGTTTGGGTCATTTCTCCCCCCTCCCCCCACCCCCTCCCTTACCACCCACCCCACCACCTCCCTCTCCCCCTACCCCTCAATACCCGGCAGAAACTATTTTGCCCTTATCTCTAGTTTTGTTGAAGAGAGAGTATAAGCAATAATAAGAAGGAACAAGGGATTTTCCTAGTTGAGATAGGGTAGCTATACAGGGAGTTGACTCACGTTAATTTCCTGTGCGTGTGTGTTACCTTCTAGGTTAATTCTTTTTGATCTAACCTTTTCTCTAGTTCCTGGTCCCCTTCTCCTATTGGCCTCAGTTGCTTTTAAGGTATCTGCTTTAGTTTCTCTGAGTTGAGAACAACAAATGATAGCTAATTTTTTAGGTGTCTTACCTATCCTCACCCCTCCCTTGTGTGTTCTCACTTTTATCTTGTGATCAAAGTCCAATCCCCTTGTTGTGTTTGCCCTTGATCTAATGTCCGCATATGTGGGAGAACATATGATTTTTGGTCTTTTGGGCCAGGCTAACCTCATTCAGAATGATATTCTCCAATTCCATCCATTTACCAGTGAATGATAACATTTCGTTCTTCTTCATGGCTGCATAAAATTCCATTGTGTATAGATACCACGCTTTCTTGATCCATTTGTCAGTGGTGGGGCATCTTGGCTATTTCCATAACTTGGCTATTGTGAATAGTGCCGCAATAAACATGGGTGTGCAGGTGCACTCTTGGGTATATCCCCAAAAGTGGTATTGCTGGATCAAATGGTAGATCAATGTTTAGCTTTTTAAGTAGCCTCCAAATTTTTTTCCAGAGTGGTTGTACTAGTTTACATTCCCACCAACAGTGTAAGAGGGTTCCTTTTTCCCCTGCATCCTCGCCAACACCTGTTGTTGGTGGTATTGCTAATGATGGCTATTCTGACAGGGGTGAGGTGAAATCTTTGTGTGGTTTTAATTTGCATTTCCTTTATTGCTAGAGATGGTGAGCATCTTTTCATGTGTTTTTTGGCCATTTGAATTTCTTCTTTTGAGAAAGTTCTGTTTAGTTCACTTTGTATGTTACTTGTTTTTTCTCTCTTACAGCCTTCAATATTCTTTCTCTAGTTTCTGTACTTGTTGTTTTAATGATGATATGCCGTGGGGTAGTTCTATTTTGATCTGGTCTGTTTGGTGTTCTGGAGGCCTCTTGCATCTGTATGGGAATAGATTTCTCTAGATTTGGGAAATTTTCTGTTATTATTTTGTTGAGTATATTATGCATTCCCTTTGCCTGCACCTCTTCTCCTTCTTCAATGCCCATGATTCTTAGGTTTTGGTCTTTTGATGGAGTCAGTGAGTTCTTGCATTTTCTTTTCACAGTTCTTGAGTTGTTTAACTAATAGTTCTTCGGTTTTTCCTTAATTACCATTTCATCTTCGAGTTCTGAGATTCTGTCTTCTGTTTGTTCTGTCCTGCTTGATTGACCTTCCGTTTTGTTTTGCAATTCTGTTTCATTCTTTTTTCTGAGGTTTTCCATATCCTGAGTCGTTTCCTCTTTAATGTTGTCTATTTTTGTCTGAGTTCATTTATCTCTTTATTAATCGTGTTCTCTGTTTATACAGTGTTTCTATGGTTTCCTTTATTTCTTCTTTTGCTTTTTCAAATTCTCTATTTTTGTTGTCTTGGAATTTCTTGAGTGTCTCCTGTACATTTTGGTTGACCCTATCCAATATCATCTCTATAAAATTCTCATTGATTACCTGTAGTATTTCTTCTTTTAGATTATTCTTGTGGGCTTCATTGGGTCCTTTGGCATAGTTTATCTTCATTTTGTTGGAGTCTGGATCTGAGTATCTGTTTTCTTCATTTCCCTCTGGTTCCTGTACTAATTTTTTGCTGTGGGGAAACTGGTTTCTCTGTTTTTTCTGTCTTCCCGTCATTACCCTTGGTGTTGTTATTGTCCCTGTACTGTTTGCAATTAAATATTTTCTAGATTGTAATAATAACAATGGTGATATTTAGAATGGAAGGGTGAGAGGAGATGGAAAGCAAAGAAGTTAAAGAAAATGGGAAAAACAAATAAACAAGTAGAAAAAACAAAACAGAAACAAACAAAAAAGTTTCAAAGATATAAACAGGAAGAGATAGTGTACTGATCAACAGTAAGCTGAACAGGCATTATAGAGCAGAGAGAGGACTAAAAATTAAAAATTAAAAAAATAAAAATAAAAAATAAATAAATGAAAAAAAAATAAATAAATATCCAAGTTCAAATGCAATAAAGTTTCAGTCTTAATAATTTTGGTGTTCGTCCCTCAGCCTCCAATCCTGGAGATGGTGTCTTGGAAGTAGTTCTGTCTTTGTCTCATCAAAGGGGAAAAAAACTAAAAAAACCAAAACAGTAGAAAGTATCCCAAGTTCAAATGCAATACAGTTTCAGTAAGTTTTTCAGCATGCAGGTGTAGTTCGATTGTTGTCTCATCAAAGGTAGGGAGAGAAAAAAAGAGTCTGGAGACAGTTCTGTGAATGGCTATCTGTGGCTGTGGCTTGCCTGCCCGCTGCTGTCAGCCTGCTGTTGCTGGAGGCTTTGTTTATGCAGATCTCAGGGGTGAGCTTAGCACTCACCTGGCCCTGCAGGCTTTGTTTACTCAGAGTTCTCCTGTGCACGACCACTGCTATAAGCTTTCCCCATTCCAAGCACACTGGGGGAGGTGACACTGCACCCGCTTTCTCAGGCCTGCATGTTTATTTACAGTTCATGTGGGAAATGGGCCTTCTCCCCTCTCCTGTGGAGTTTTCCTCCCACCGCCACTTTTCCAAGCTTTCCCACTCCTCGTTGCTGGGCATATGCTGCTGCTCCTGCCTTCTCCGGCCGGCCTCTTCGGCGCTCATGGCGCCCCACCCTCTTTGCTACGTATCTTTTTTGTTGTTATTGCTTATTTAGTTTCTCTTTTTTCCCTGGGTGGGGGTGTCGGTCTGTCCAGGGGGCTATGCTGATCTGGCCCAGGGTTGTCTGTGGGAGTACCGCGTGCCGCTTAGCTCACCTTGTGGTCCGCATCTTCCCAAGCTGTCCGGGCACTGCCGTCTGGTGGTGGCGTGGGAGCCCTCCTGGTTTCTCCATTTAACATGAAGTGAAGATGCTATGCGCAGGCTGGAGGTGTGGAGGGCTCAAAGTTTTGCCTCTTCTCAGTGGTTTTTCCTGTAAGGTATATCTCCAGCGTCTCTCCAAGATTTTACTTTATGAAGCATGCTTTCTGCTTCCTCCCTCTAGCCGCCATCTTGGAATTCTCTCACCTTCTGGGTTTTGTTTGTTTTGTTTTGTTGATTTTGTTGAGACAGAGTCTCACTATGTACTCCAGGCTGGCCTCAAATTCCCCCTGTAGCCCAGGCTGTCCTGGAACTCATGATCTTCTGCATGGAGGCCTTCTCAATCATCAAAGGCATTATTCTGCAATATGGACTTAATACTAAATATGTTTTGCTGCTATTGAATGCTTTGATGTCATATATGATGTGTCTATGCCAAATGACTTCAGTCAGAAGGTCCCCGTTATCACCTCACTAGAGGAGGTGTAATCAAATGCAGTCCATGTGCTCTGATTGTTGCCACAAGTGTGAGTTCTGATTCTTCAGCCCAGCTGCAAGTTCCTCCTCTATAGTCCTATGCCTGTTCATTAAGAGTACTTACTGAATCATCGTACCTGTGGTGGGAGTTCATCATTTGTGCCCTGAGCGACTGGAATGTTAGGTCCTAAGGTTTCCTGGCTCTTGCTCTCTCTGGTACTTTTAACACCTGATGTCCCTGTACACTGTCCCATTCAACTTCATGTCTTACCGAACTGTGCTGGTAAGTTGTCCAAGTGGCTGCTGGAGTGTCCCAAAACTAGATGCTGATGGCACCTAGGGCCTGAGAGGGAAGGAGAGGAGGCTGGGTTGGGAGATGTCCAGAAAGGATGGATACTTTAGACCCAATTTCCACTGGCTGTTTCTCCACATCTCCTTTGTACCTGGGAGAGACAGTGTTCCTAAACACGCCTGTCCTGACTCCTTCACAGGTATCCACAGGTTTCCAGTGCAACAATATGACGTCAGCCCTGCCTAGCAACTTCCTTGACCGCCTTCTCTCCACTGCCCTCATGGAAGATGCAGAAATTCGTCTTTTCGTCCTAGAGATTCTTATCAGTTTCATTGATCGTCATGGCAACCGCCACAAGTTCTCTACCATCAGGTGAACTTGGAGGTCTCTCCTCTAGGAGATATGTGATCAGGGAGAAGACCCTGATGGGGCCTGTCTTCTTAGCCTGTAGCTAATCTGAACAATTCAGATTCAGTGAGACCCACTAGGGAGTCGATCACTGACATTGACTGTGGGGTCCCACAAAGGGAGGAGAGACCAAAGGGCATTTGTGCCTAGAGAAGGGGAGTGGACTAGAGATTTCGGGATGAAGAGCATGTACTAAAGGGAGTGTTCAGGTGGGGGGAAGAGGATGTAGTTACCAGTAGATCCTGAGACGATTTGGGAGGAACAGGGGAAAGAGAATAACCAGAATCAAAGATTTAAGAGAAAGGAACAGGAACTTTGGAACTTGAGAGAAAGTGGAGACTGGGCTGACCCAGGTCCAGTGGAGCACTAGAAGGCTGTACTGATATACATTGGGAATAAAGCCAGTGACCACATGTGAATTCAGGCTGGCCTCACACAAGGACTGGGGGGCCCTTCTATCCTCTTCCAGTACCCTCAGTGACATCTCAGTTCTGAAACTGAAAGTGGATAAGTGCTCCCGACAGGATACTGTCTTCATGAAGAAGGTAAGCATGCGTGACCTCGGCAGATGCCAAGTGAGCCTGCCAGCTCCCAGGTCGTGGCCAACCACTGCCCCCAGAGCCTACTTTGTCCCTCTACAGATATGCTTGGATATGTTTAGTCAGGTTAACCATCTGCCCCCTGGGTTCGGGGGCGGGGGGTGGGGGGTGGAGATAAAACCCATGGTGACATTCATTGCCAAGTCCGGAGCCAGAAATGCCCCTAAATATCCAGTCTGGGGTCATCGATTTGTTCTCCTAAAACCAGGTTTGGGCAATAGCTTGTTGGCTGGTGTCACTGGGCCCATTTGTCCCTAAACATACATTCCCACACATGGAAGTGCAAGTTCACTTCCACTGTCTGCCCTGTGAATGGACATAGGATATGTAACAGCCATCCAATCCCCCTTCGGATTGGTTTTCTTCCCCATTCTCCTCGCTTCTCCTGTCTTCTCCACCTACTCACTGCGGCTTTCCTCTGTCCCCACTCCCATCTCCAGCACTCCCAGCAGCTCTACCGGCACATCTACCTGAGCTGTAAGGAGGAAACGAACATACAGAAGCACTACGAGGCGCTCTACGGCCTGCTGGCACTCATCAGCATCGAGCTGGCCAATGAGGAGGTGGTGGTAGACCTCATCCGCCTGGTGCTGGCTGTTCAGGTGTGGCCTGGTGCGGGTAGGACATAGGGGTTAGGATCATGGGGTGGGTCCAGTCTGGCCAAATACTGAAAAGAGTACCGAGGAGCAGTTGCTTAACAGTTACTGTGGATTTCAGCCACGGTTTGGAAGAGGGTGTTCATGAAACCTCAGAATCTCATTCACTCCAGCCCTAAGTGACCCTAAAACAAAATTCTTTGTCTAATGATCCCTTGGTTCAAAATTGCCTTTGACACTTATTAAAACTATGTATTCCCTGAGCTGGAAAGTCAGAGTGTTCCAAGCTGGAAACCTGGGTGCTTAACAGGTCTCCTTGTGATTCATAGACAGTCAGCGTGGTTCTAGGTAGGGTCGGAGAGTTTAAGGTCTGCCTGAGTGGAAGTGTAGTTCCCAAGGTAGCTGGGGTGGGTCCTTCAGACCTCAAAGGCTGGCGTCTCCAGGTCCTGAAGTCAGGCGGGTATCATATTCCTGAATCAGCAATGGAGAGTCTTAGGCCTAGTGGCCTAAGTGCTAAATACTGCAGAACCAACCTAGCTGCCATAATTTTCTTAATTCTGCTTACCCTCAAGAGATAGAATTTGGATTCTTTTGTGTCCCAGTCCTCTGGTGAGTCCCATAGTTTTGTCAACTTAACATATGTCTAGCAAGCCAATTCAGTCCTCCAAGAGTCAGCTACAGTAAGGAGCAATGATGCGGATCTGGACAGTGAAGGTCACTGCAGCTAGAAGTGCCGAGTGGGGAGCCAAGGTCATTGCCTTTATGCTCAGTGAGTGGTTAAGGACCACTAGCTCATGGGTTGTTCCAAGGACCATTCCCTTCTGCTTTAATGAGGCTGACTTTTGTATCCCGGCAAGTTGTGGGGCTAATTCTGAGAAAGAATTTAGTCTAGAAAAATGAGTCACCTCTAGGAAGACTGGGGAGAAGTTGGGTGGAGGGTGAGAACTCCAGGGTAGGTCGTCAGTTAAAAGTCAGAAGGCCATCTGTGTTGGTACAGGACGTGGCCCAGGTCAATGAAGAGAACTTGCCTGCATACAACCGCTGTGCCCTCTATGCCCTGGGTGCAGCCTACCTGAACCTCATCAGCCAACTCACGACAGTGCCTGCCTTCTGCCAGCACATCCATGAGGTTAGTGTCCTCGTGGCCCTGATTGCTCAGGAGGCCCTCCTTGGGCTTGGGGTTCCCAGAAACCACTCTTCCTTAATTGTATCAGTACTGTACTTAGGCACTGAAGAAAACATGGAAGTAAGAACTAGTGAGTGCTGCAGGTGTCCCTGAAGTGGTAGAGTGCCTCCCTAGCAGGCGCAAGGCCCTGAGTTCAAACCCCAGTACTACTAAAAAAAAAACCTAATGACAGTTAGTTACATGAGGCAGCATTTCTTGCTGCCTGACTTGACAGAGCAGGGTGGGATCAGACACAAGGAGTATCCTGCACCTGCTTTCCCCTCGTCTTCCCTACTCATGGAGCACACAGTACACATCCCTCAGATCATGTGAACTAAAGTCGATAACAGTTTTGGGGAGCCATGTGTGGTAGTGCATGCCTGTACCACCACTGCTTGGGAACCTGAGGCTGGAGGATCACAAGCTTAGTGTCACTTTTAGCAACATAGTACGCCCTTTCTCAAAAAACCAAAACAAAAAATAATTTTTGCCATGAAAGATCTCAAATACCACAAAAACATGAGTAGACTAGTAAACATCCATCATGCAAAGGAAATACTTAAGAAGATTTTCTCACATTTGCTTCATCTAGCTCCTTTTCTTTTCCTTTGCTAAAACATTTTAAAACAAATTCCAGCTTTCTGCCTGTGTACCTTACATCATACATCAGTATGCATGACTAAAAATCAAAACAAAAAACACAACATGAGCACCTGCTCCATGACTGCCATGCTAGTCACATAGCTAACTCAATTTTCAAAGCTCCCTTGGTAATTGTCTAACACCCAGTCTATAGTCACGTGCTCTCAGTTGTTGCATAAACATCTTTTAAAGCATGCCAAAATAGTTATAGGAGAAATGATATGATGTCTAGGATTAACTTTAAAATATACAAGAAAAGCAAAATAAAAGAAATGCCAGGCCGGGCTTGGGGGCTTGGGGAAGGGTGCCATACCAATGTGCCAGACAACCCCACAGTTTTGGACCATCCCAGGCTCTGGGCTGATGAGGGAGTGCAAGAAGGGCAATGCTCAGATGTCCTGTTCATCAGAAATCATGGGATTGTTGCTAATTCCCCTGTGCACATCTCCGTGCAAACTCTTCCCCCACTTCTTGCCACCTTAGTAACTTTCATCATTTTTGTCAAAAATTTGCAAATGATACTGAGGAAAGCTCAAAGGGTCACTGTCTGTTGGCTGTTTTTACAATACTCAGCATTGGTGCAAACTATGCTCCCTTTCCACATGTTTGGGTAGGAAGCACAGAGAGAAGGCACAAGAACAGAAAACTACAGTCTCTTATGAGTGAAGTGCCCTGCACTTGGAAGACACTCAATGCAAAGGTGCCATGGATAGTGACAGCTTGAGCAGGCCACTGGGTCTGAGGGTAGCCTAGACCTGTGTTCTCACTTGAAAAGCCCAGCTGTATCACACTCCCCATGGAGGCCATAGGAGGGAGGCAACACTCAGACCAGGGTAGAGCTTATCCTGTCTAGGCTCTCATCATTTGATTCCACTCAAACTCCAGGTAATTGAGACCAGGAAGAAAGAGGCCCCCTACATGCTTCCTGAGGATGTGTTCGTGGAGAGGCCCAGGTGAGAAGAGCACTTGGGACATGGTGGCATATTCCCAAGATAGCTGAGCAGGAGGGTGGGCAGTTTGAGGCCAGGAGGGGCCGCACAACAGGAGACATGGGCTCCTAAGATCCAGGGTAGAGAGCAGGGAAAAGATATTTTAAAATAACAAAGAGTCTAACAGTAGGGCATAGCTTTCTAAATTGTGGCCCATCCATGCAATAAATAGCTGGCAGGCCGGACACCAGTGGCTCATGCCTGTAATCCTAGCTACTCGGGAGGCAGAGATCAGGAGGATCTTGGATTGAAGCTAGCCTTGAACTAATAGTTCATGAGACCCTATCTTGAAAATACCCAACACGGAAAAGGGCTAGTTGAGTGGCTCAAGTGGTAGAGTGCCCTGAGTTCAAACCCCAGTACCACCAAAAAAGCTGGTAAATAAGATCAATGATGTTTAGGAAGAATGTTTAATGTGAAATATACATTATATAATAGGTGAATAACATTGATCAAAGAGCAGTATGGTGGGGAAGGGGACATTTATGTGGGCAACTAAATGTATATGACTAAAGGATTCTACATAAATGTAAATTTATGGGTAACTCTGGGAATGTGCGGGTTTTCTTTTCCTTTGACTTCTTTTGTCATTTTGCATTATAAATGTGTTGTTTTTGTAGTAAGGAAAGTCACCAGGGAACCAGTCAAGATGCCCACAGTTTTACTTTGCCTCTTCCCTCCTTTGTTGTCCAGGCTGTCTCAGAATCTAGATGGTGTGGTGATTGAGTTCCTCTTCCGCCAGAGCAAGATCAGTGAAGTCCTGGGGGGCAGTGGCTACAATTCAGACAGGCTCTGCCTGCCCTACATCCCTCAGCTGACAGGTATGAGCCTGCCTCTGTCTTTTCCTGACCAGTTAAGGGCCTGAGGGTAAGGGACTGTGGACCCCTCTATCACCCACTATGGCATCTTTGATGTTGCACAAGAGCTGAAAGATACAGCAGAATTTATGGTAAGATCCTGATTTCCATGCTTTTCCTCCTCAGTGCAGGATCCTAGGTTGTAACTGGCCCACGAGATAGCCTGGTCCATGGATGGGGTGGTCCATTGTGCTGCAAAGAGCATTCATGGATTACTGAACCAGAGACACTGTTCTATACCTCTGTGTAATTTACTGCCTGAAAAGTCTTAGACAAGTCATTGGGCATCCCTGAGTTTCAATTTGTTTGACTATAAAATACCTGCCTTAGAGGATTGATGTGAGAGGCCCATGAAATACTGAAGGCAAAGGCACTATGTACACACTACACATAGAGTAAGTGCTCATGCTGTTAACAGGTGAGGCTTATGCAAGTTGAGATACTCTTTCTGGTACTAAGCAGCTTTTTTTTTTTTTTTTTTTTTTTTGCATCAGTGGTTGTAAAATCTTAACCCAAAAGAGCAAAGTATGTACCAAGCCATAGAGGACTGTGAACCAAACCAAGGCCAAAGGATAGGAGATGGGACTGGGGACTCAATCCTGGCTGCCTGAGGTTGTGAATCCCAGCTTCTGGGCTCTTCTTTTCCAGATGAGGATCGCTTATCCAAGAGAAAGAGCATTGGGGAGACTATTTCCCTGCAGGTGGAGGTGGAATCAAGGAACAGCCCAGAGAAAGAGGAGGTGAGTGTCTGTCACTGTCCTGGTGTAGCATCTTGTTGCCCACTGCTACAGGTACAGGCCCCTTTAACAACACAACACATTGAGGGTTACATGGAAATTAGTTTCTTAAGAAAATCCATTTTCTTACTTTTTCTCATCATATCTAGATATCATTGAAATTCCACCTGGAAAGATTTTAATGCCCCCACTCCCAAGAGAATGTCAAGAATCATTCTTGAAAGGCTTGCTGGTCTTCATTTTACACAGTGGGACGCTGTACTCCATGTTGGGAGTCAGAAGGCTTAACAGGGGAGAATAGCTTTCAGAGTCGTTCTTCCAGATTTTTCAGTAACATTCTTTCCCCCCTCCTTTTTTATTATGATATTATTGTTGTACTGGGGATACATTGTGGCATTTACAGCCCTCCGTCCTTCTCCTTTATCCTGCCCCTCCCAGTTTCTGGAATGGTGTCAACAGGTCTCATTTTTCCATTTTCATACAGAGTGTAGAGTATTTCTACCACATTCACCTCCTCCTACACCCTTTGTCTATATCTTCCCCCCAACAACCTTTATTTTAAAAACTTGACTTAATTTCTAAAGTCGTTTTAAGTTCATAGCAAAATTGAGAGGAAGATACAGAGACTTCCCATATACTCCCTTCCCACCCCAACATGTGAAGACCCCCCCATTCTCAATATCCACACCAGAGTAGTACATTTGTTATAGTCACTGAACAAACCATTATCACCCAAACCCATAGTTACATTGGGGTTCACTCTTGGTATTGTACATTCAATGGATGTGGACATGTAGCCAACATTACAATATCACGCAGAGTGTTCTCAATGCCCTAAAAATCCCCCGTGCTTCCCCTTCCATCCCTCCCTCTGCCCACCCTTGCCAACCGAGATTTTTAAAGAGAAAGCCTCAGCAGTACCTTAATGATCTCTTTCTCCCAGTCATGAATATCTAATTTCTGCTCAAATTAACTTATGATATCCCCCCTGCCTTTACCTCATTTCTTCTCCCTTAGGAGATAAAGCAGATGTATCTATGCGAGTAGAAATCATAGTGAAATACCATATTAACCCCCACCCCCACAGAAGAGAAAGAAATGGAGGGGCAGAGAGGAGAAAGGAGTAAGGAGGGTACTAGCTCATCACGCCTTTTTTTCCCCCTTTTTCTTTGACACTGAGGCTTCCCCAGATGTGATCAGAGCATGGAGATGTGTTTAGAGATCAAGATCAAGTCTCCCTCTAACAGACCTTCAACCACTTCATTCACTGGGGCAGACCAGGCCAGGGCTTTTCAGAGCTCTTCTGGAATCTTCCTATGGAAGGCTCTTCTCCTTAGGAGATAAAGCATGTATCTATGCGGAGTAGAAATCATAGTGAAATACCATATTAACCCCACCCCCACAGAAGAGAAAGAAATGGAGGGGCAGAGAGGAGAAAGGAGTAAGGAGGGTACTAGCTCATCACGCCTTTTTTTCCCCCTTTTTCTTTGACACTGAGGCTTCCCCAGATGTGATCAGAGCATGGAGATGTGTTTAGAGATCAAGATCAAGTCTCCCTCTAACAGACCTTCAACCACTTCATTCACTGGGGCAGACCAGGCCAGGGCTTTCAGAGCTCTTCTGGAATCTTCCTATGGAAGGCAGAAAGCTCCGAGTTGGACTAGTTGGAACAAAGTAGTGGTGAAACTGGGGCCCCTCTGAGGTCATTCCTGCTGTAAAAGACTGAGAACCTCCAGTGTACCCCACAGGATTAGCTGGCTGCTGTTCTGAGTTAAGAGACCCTGAAGAATTGTTGAGTTCAGGGAAGCTGAAAGAGGAGAAATCCTCATTTGGCTACCAAGCCACCTATATAACAGTGGCTGCCTGGGCCACCCATGTCAGTTCCTTCGCTGTTCTAGAGGTGGCTTAGCCTAGGGGTGGCCTGGTAGCTGATGGGTGGGTGTGAAGCCTCTATTCCATGCCCTCTTGCCATGCCACCCTGCTTCTCACCTTCAGCCCATCATGTCCATGCCTGTGGCCATGACTGTGGATGATAAATCAATGCTGGTGTGGTCAAATCCTAACCCGGTATCAAGCATTCAGGGCCAGTTACAGTTTGACTGGTCTCATCATGTCATTTGATCCTACTCCACCTTCTTAGTCGGGTGGGACTGCTTTCAGTCCCCAGTCCCCCTCCCCTGCTACACTCAGTCATCTCCATGTGTTTGCTAGTGCAGAAGGCCATGCTGGAGTCGCCCTGCCTCTCCACACAGGTGACCAGCCCAAGGTCCCTTTCCTCCATACACTTCTCTCTACTTGCTCTCCCCTGGTGAGCAACCCTTGTCTCTTATTGTCACCACCATATGGTTGTCTAGTGCCTTATGCTCATATTTGATTTTGGTCATTTTCTAACCATACGTGGATGGATGGATGGACATGAGATGAATCCTCAGAGTGAACCATAGATCTCTCTTGCTTAGGATTCCTATCCTGGCAAATTTTGCAATTTCTCCTGAGTGACCCACTTAGAGTCTACATGCAATAGGTGCTCACCTAGTATTCATTGAGTGTCTTTATCCCATATCTACACTTCCTTAGTCCTCAGACAAGTGTTTACTGAATGCCAAACAAATCAAAAAGTATACAACCCCATAAATTTTCACAAAGTGAATGTGCCCATGTCATCACACCCAGTCTAGGGGATGGGATGCTTTTATGGTCCAGAGCCCTGACTCCGTCCCAAGGAGCCACTAACCTGAGTTGTGACTCCTCCTGAATGTTATGTTGGTGACGTCATTTTCTTCTGTGTCTGCTTCTGTACTTAGTCTTCTGATAAAGAGATGGAACATGAGGAAACCATGAGTCTTGCCTCGAGAAGCTCATAGTCTGATGGGGAATTCCTGGAACTTAGTCCAAACTTCTTCAGTATTTTCAGTATAAGTCCTAAGGCATGGAGTTTTATTATTTCTACCTCTTTTCATAGGCTCTGCAAAAGTCTGAGAGCCTATGACCCAAGTGCTTGGACCAACCTCAGCAGTGAGGGCCCATCAATTATACTCTTCCATTTCTTACCTAAATTAAGACTCTGATCTCCTTAGTGGATAATTTAACATAAGTCTTTACAAATGATATTCAGTTCTTGAAGTTGAGGTTTGCAGTTATATTTGCTAACTGCCTCCGCTGGCATTCAGTAGTTTCTGTTATGTTCTCTGAGGATTAAAAAAAATTACATGGTGTTTTCCTTCCACAAGGTTTGATGGGACAGGCTTGAGCAGGGGACAGAGGATAGGGAATTCTTTTAGATGAGACTCAGGACTCTTCTGAGAATCTGGTGGGGCACCTCACTTGCTCCCCTCCATTCCTGCTGGGGGAGCTTCCTGAGATCCCAGTGGGAATGGAGTGCCCACGAAAACATTCTAACAAGCAAAGGGGCTGCCAGATAGCTGAGGAAGCTGGGCTACCTGTTTCCCTTCTCTGCCTTTCTGAGCATTTCTGTCCCCTTTCCAGCGAGTGCCTGCTGAGGAAATCACTTATGAGACACTGAAGAAGGCCATTGGTAAGACAGGGGCTCCAGGGGACTCTGGCTAGAGGGGAGGGCAGGGTTGGCTCCTGGATCTGTTGCCTTCCCTAGTGCAATTCAGCACTGACCTGGGGACAGAGGCTGGTGACTTCCTACAAACTCATCAGAGCCATCAAGATGGCAGCTCTTCTGATGGGGGCCAGTATTCTTTTCCCTGTGTACCCTGTATCAGGCAGTCCTTTTTCTACTAGTGACAGCTGCCTCTAAAAGTAATCAGTTGGGAGTTACAGCAGACAGCCAGTAATTTTGTGTAAATAATTCTCTTTTGTTCTGGGTAGGGGTAGGGGGTGTGGAGTTTGATGCAAATAAGTTGACCAGTGAAAGATACTCAGAACAAATCATGTTAGCATTTAATAAGGGCGCTAAGCCCTACAATGCAGTTATACCTCATGTGCTGGGTGACTGGGCCATGAAGTATTCTCATTAAGAGAGTTTTTCCGACTAATGACAAATTAAGCCTTTATGGACTTTCAATTAATCCTTTTTAAGTTTCTGTTCTCGTGAATGGTATTCTTTGTGTACCCACTGATTGCCTTCCTAAACTGAACACAGTGACCATAGTGACCCCCTAAGTCATTTTGGGTACCAAGTTCCATGTGGAAAGCCTTAAGCTAAATGGCCTCAGGCTGCTTTGTGTCATGCATCTGTGTTGACTTTCATGGTTTATCTGCCGTTTTGAATTACCCAAAGAGTACTAAAAGGGCCACCTCTCCTGAAGACCTTCTGTTTAAGGGTCCTAGTGGCAGTTCAGCTTCTTGGGCTTTAAAAACCAAAGGGTCCACCTAACTAGTTCTCAAAGTCATCTACCAGGAAAAGGTCCTGCTTCTCTGGGGCACCACACCCTCCCTGCCACTGTCCCTTCCTCATCAGCAGAAGGCAGAGTCTCTGAAGAGACTTTCATCTCCTTCAGCCCCTCCCCTTCCTTCCCAGTGGGAGGACCCAAGTACTAACCCAGTTCTCTATGTGGCAGTGGACAGCGTGGCGGTGGAGGAGCAGGAGCGTGAGCGGCGGCGACAGGTGGTGGAGAAATTCCAAAAGGCACCATTCGAGGAGATTGCAGCTCACTGTGGGGCCCGGGTGAGTGGGGCACCACATGGGGTGTCCAGATTTGGGTCCAGGGCAAGGCTGAGTTTAGAAGTCTTGGCTCTTTGTCCTCCAGAAATTAAAGTTTTGATTCCAGCACAGAGAATTCTGCTGTTTTCCCCAACAACCTGAACTGCACATCTCAGTAGTTTTCATGGAAGGAAGAAATTCTGACCCCAGGAGCACCAGACAGTCCAGTTATACTCAGTAGGGTCATGGTAGCAAGCATGCAAATTAAACAGCATGCCAGAATGTCTCTCACTTGTTAGCTTATTTTATTCTCGAGGTAACTCGGTGAGGTTGGTGCCATTATGCTCTCCACATTATGGTGTGATGGAGGAGGATACATGGCAGAGGAGAGGTGGTCAACACGTGCAGCAGGGCCCTCTTCCAACCAGGGGACCCCAGCAGCCCTCTGAAAAAGAGAGTTGAAAGACAGGCAGCCAAACAAGCAGAGATGAAGACCATGGTTGGACTTGAGGGAGGAGTTCAAATGATTCCAGAGGTTTTTTTAGGGCTTTTTTTTGTTTTTGTTTTTAGCTTTGGCAATTCTGAGGTTTGATCTCAAAGTATCACACTTGCTAGGCAGGTGCTATACCACTTGAGCCACCTCTCAGCCCTTCTTTGCTTTATTTTTCAGGCAGCATCTCAGGTTCTCACCTGGGACCAGCCTCAGACAGTGATCCTCTTACCTCTGGCCTCCCACATAGCTGGGACCACAGGAGTGTTCTACTGTGCTTGGGTTTTTTTATTGCAATGGGATCACCCTAACATTTTGCCTGAACTGGACTCTAACCAATTCTCCAGATTTCTGCCTCCTGAGTAGCTGGGATTACAGGTGTGAGCCACCATGACCAGTTTCAGGCAGTTCTTGAAACAAATCATATACAAGGATTTGTTAGCCACAGTGTCAGTCCTAGTGATGATGAAACATGATTGTGAACATTCAAAACCTACAACCAATCTTTTCTCTCAATAAAAATACATGTAATTTTAGCCAAGCCTGGTGGTTCATTCTTGTAATCTCAGCTCCTCAGGAGGCAGAGATTGGGAGGATCACAGTTTGAGGCCAGCCTGGGCAAAAAAGTTAGCAAGACCCTATGTCATCAAACAAGCCAAGTGTGGTGATCACAGCTATATGAAAGGTATAGGGAAAAAACTCATGGTCCAGGCTAGCCAGAGCAAAAAGCAAGACCCCATCTGAAAAATGACTCAAATAAAAAGGGCTGGGGACTTGGCTTAAGTGGTAGAGTAACTGCTAGCAAGTACGAGGCTCTTTGTTCAAACCCCAGTATTGCTTCCTGCAACAACGTAACTTCTAAAATTTTAATATATAATATATATTTTTGTTTGTTTTTGTTCTTATTTATGAGACAGAGTCTCTCACTATGTAGCCCAGGCTGGCCTTGAACTCATAAGTGCTGGAAGTACAGGCTTGCACCACCATGCCTGGCTTATTTTCATTTATGTATATAATATTTGCACATTTTATATCTATATAAAATGTAGGTTTTCCTGATTCAGTGTTCTCCTAACTTCCCATCCCACCTTGAGAGGTAGACACTGCCCACTGCAGGGCCGAGTTGAGGCTCAGTTAGTGGACATGTGGGAATTAAGGAAAGATCTGGCTGTAGCTTAAAGACTGCAGCCCGTGACCAGCAGACCCTACCTTCCCATGTTCAGAAGCAAGGGCGTCAACTCAAGGTCCTCCCTGGTGTTCCTGGCCCTCTGCCCTGTCCCCAGCCAGCGTTTGAGGTAGCTGTCCCTGATATGAATCCACAGTCAGGGTCCAAAAGACAAGTGCTGGGAACAAGTTTGTACCTGCTTTCCTTCCACAGTTGGTACTACAAGGTCCCTGCCAAGTGTCCCTTGGACAGGTGGATCTGTGAGATGACCAGCAAGTGTTCGGGAACACCCCCACTCATTTACTCTCTGTTTGTGTCTAGGCATCCCTGTTGCAGAGCAAACTCAACCAGATCTTTGAAATCACCATCCGGTAAGTCACAGCTCTGAGCTGGCATCTGCCCATTGCCCTGCATTGGGTCTTCCCTCTACCCACGACCTCTGTCCCCAGGGCTGGAGTCAGCCACCTAGATGAGGAAACAGAGATCAGAGAGAGAAGCAGGCCAGCTCAGTGAGGCCTCGAAAGGGCCAGAGGTCCTGGGCCACTGTCCCAGTCTGTGTGTCCCAGCAGTGTGTCACTGTAGAGCCTGCTGAAAGTCTCATTGAGTGATAGATTCTAGAACAACCTGGGAGCCCATGAAGTGGCAAGGTCTCTGGTTCCTATGCAAAGAGAAACCTAAATCAGCTGCACAGGAACAGGACCCCAGAATTCCTGCTGCTTCATGCCTTTCTCTGCCATGTGTTCCACCCCTCCGCCCCACAGGCCTCCTCCCAGCCCATCAGGAACCATCACTGCAGCCTATGGCCAGCCGCAGAACCACTCCATCCCTGTCTACGAAATGAAGTTTCCCGATCTGTGCGTGTACTGAATTCCAAAAGATGGAGGACCTCAAAGGAATGGGTTTTGAGGGAGGACTTGCCCTCACACTCACCTCTACCATGTGGAAATTCAGCTGGATCTCTGACACCTTGGATGATAGCGCCTTTCCAGCTAAGCAAAGGTGGAGCTCCCAGGCCTCCTCTGGTCCTTCATTGCTCTCCTGCCTCCTCCTCATCATCCCTGACGGAGCTCCAGCCACCAGCCTTCTGGGGCCAATAAGCATCTCATCTGCACCTTCTGTTTTGTGTCATCCAGGGACATAGAGTCATGGGGTATCTCCAGAGGGAAGTTGAGAGGCCTAGAAATTTCCCATCTGGTATGTTGGATGAATGGCTGCCATTGGGGTTACATCTATGAGGGCTTGTTGGCCACCTCCAGAGGAGGGAGCTAGATGGAGACTTGGTTGGTCAAAGGAAGCCATTGATGACACTTATAAAAAAGTGTGGGAGCTGGAGATGGTGGCTGCTTTCATCCCTAGCAGTCCCCCTCTTCTCCCATTCAAGTCTTGTGTCTCTCTTCCACTCTTGCTCACCTTCCAGTTGTCTGGTTTTTTGTTTGTTTGGGTTTTTTTTACTACTGATGAATGTTGAACCCTTATAACAGGAACTGGGGATAGAGAAGTGGAGGTTGGGCAGCAGCGAAGATAGAACAAAGGACTGGCAGACCCAGGGATAGGGAGAGGCTGGTTCTTCCAGCCTGGGCAGCAAGCATCACCCAAGACCTGCCTCCCATCTCAGGCACAAGGGCAAGTTGTGTCCCTGTGTAGATTCCTCACCTCCTTTGTTCTGAGGGGCTTGTGGTGGCCCTCTTGTGGTTCTCTGACTTCTTGATATTTCTCTAAGTTGCTTGAGAAGGACTGGGGGCATGATTTAAGTGGTAGAACACCTGTCTAGAAGCATGAAGCCCTGAGTTCAAACCCTAGGAGCACCAAAAGAAAGATAAAAAATGTGGACTCTTCAGCTGACTGAATTACCATCTCTTTGATGTCTGTCTTCCAAGGACCCCAGAGTGTTTCTGCAGCCTCTGGGTTGAGGGAAGGCACAGCATATAGTACTTGGTTCTGGATGACTGAAAGAGGGAGGAGGCACAGAGCCCCCGCAATCTGCCCATTAGTTCCCATGGAAGAGGCTTCCAGCCCGAGCGTTTCCCCTGCGTGATTTATGAGAGCAGCTGACCCAGGGACCAGTTGGGGCACAGAAATAGCTGCTAGCTGCTCTGTCACACTTCCCTTTCCTGACCCCTCCTCTCACAGCTATGCCGCGTGGTCCAGCATAACCCTTTCTTTTCTTTTCAGACTTCTTATAACTTTTCTGAGCTGACATAACTCATTTGACCATTTGGATTTCTTGACCCCATGAAATTGAATTCCTTTTTAGGGTATAGTTTTAGGCAATGGGCCAGAAGGGAGCTGTTTCTGCTAATGGAGGGGAGGCAGCTTCTCAGGACACTCCCAAGTCACCCCCTGCACACAGCCCTGCACAGATGCCTAGTGAGAGCCTGACTGTTGGGACAGATGGGTGCATTTTCCAAAATGGGGACAAACTTAACACATGCAGTTCCCTTGCATGTGCAGTAAATATTGTGGGGAGGGGACTGTCTGCCCCTCATCCCTCCTAGTTTGCACACTTTGGATGCAGCTGTAAGCACCTCCTAGTGCTGTGGGTGCTTGGTTCCCGCATGGCCTGTGTGATCACAGGCGCCAAGGGTGAGGTCCTGCTCCTCCTCGGTTTTTTGGCTATTTCTGTGGCTTTTGTCTTATAACTACCCAACTTTACAAGCATGGACTTAGATTTCTCTTGCATATCTCTTTATTAAGAAACTAAGTTTAAAATAACTTTAAAAAAAACTAGATGACAAATAATCTTTGGAAGAAACTTTAAAGAAAATCTAAACCTTGAACTACAAATGCATCTTTCCTCACCAGATCATACCATCTTTTACCCCATGCTTGGCATTGACAGAGACCTTCGGTTTCTTGTTCCCAATGTGATGTCAGGGTCTTTCTCCCTCCCACCCCCATGGCAGCTTCATTCTGAGCACTGCCTGTGGGGCCCCGGTTCTGGGACATGGGAGTCACTTCCCTGGAGTGTCTTTCTAAAGTTGGCACCAGAGCCAGAAACCTGCAGGTCTGCTCAGAAGCTTCTGTCCCTCCCCGCTTCTGGGAATAGAGAGGAGAAAAGGGACAGGGCTCCCGTTTGGCAGACTCAACTGCCACTCCCTTTTTTCTCCAGGGCAGCTTTTTCTGTACATCACACTGCTTAGAGAGACATGCCACTTTTGGAGATCTGGCCCTTTCTTACAAGCCCTCTTCTCCATTTCCATCTAAATCCATACTCAGTAGAATATTGGATTGCCCGCTGACACAGAGTAGAATCTGGATCCAGGCCAAGTATGCCTCTGAATTGAAAGTTTAATGTGTTAACTTAGAAAATGAAATGGTGAACACAGCAGTTTCCATCACAAGGCCTGAGAGGCAAAGTAGAGTTGGGTAGGATCTAGAGGGAGGAACCTGGGGCCTGGGGTCCCCACACCCTATTTCCAAGCCCTGTGGCATCTGGCAACACTGTTTCATGCCCCTCTTTGCTCCCCTTCTCTGTTGTGAGCTTGAGCCAAGAGGAGCCGCAGGCCATTCAGACTAACTGCTCCCAGAAACCACCAAGGGCTCTGGCTTTGTGGGTAAGGGGTTGGCATCTTACAGATAGAACTTAATAAGCACGAATAATCTAAGGTTTGGAAGTTCTGTTAACTTGGTTGAGTCACAAATGTACACAAGAAGCTGACAAGTAGAGCCTAGAGGTGGCTTCAGTTTTCCTTGCACTGGGATCTCTAGTGCCCCAGGCCTGTTCTCGTTTTCCTCTCTCTTTGAAGAGTAGAATAAGTGGTTTCTTGATTCCTAAACAGCCTCATCACTAGAGAAGGAGCTAGAACAGAAGAACCAGAAAAGTCCTCTGATTCTCCTCTGTCTAGCCCCTACCCACAAATACAAAAGGATGAGCAGAGGGACAGGTGACTGCACTCAAACAGCACAGTGTCATGAATGTGAAGCTATTTGCCCTGACTGTTCCAGGTCCCATGGGCACATTTCAACTGGAATAGGAGTCAGAACAGCCCTAAATTCCCTTTAAATGGCGACCTACAGGCTTCTTTGGGGCCCCTAGGTCACAGTGCCTTCCACATGCAATTCTACTGTCCCAGCCTCCCTACCCGCTACAGAAAATGCTGTTGCGAAGCCAGGCAACTTTTCTCAGTTCCTCCTCACAACCAGAAAATGGCAGTGACCAGCTCCCACTGGAGCTTGTGGGAAGGGTGAGACCTGGAATGCTGGGCTGAGCTTAAAGGCAGACAGGGAGGTAGAATCACCAGAGCAGGTCATGCCTGCTTCCCGTGACCCTGCCCCTTGCGAGCAGGCCCTGCTGAAACAAGGCATCCTCCTTACATCCGGGGAGAAGGTTCGGCCGGCATGTTGCCTCTTTATCCCACTAACCCTAAAAACTCTGGTTACTGTGGCCCTTTACCCCAAATTGCGCCCAGTCGACAGGAAGAGAGTCATGGTGGGCCCTGCCTTGGAGCCTGGCAGGAAGAGCTTTCTGTCCTTGTTAACTTTCCTTAGCACCAGCCTGACTGACCAGGGTGGGTGTCACAGGGCCTCCCAAACCCAGCACCTTCTCCTTATCTGTGACGGTTGATCTGGAGTGTGGAATGCAGAGTTGTAAATCCACAAATGCTGCAGCCCATGCATTGTAACGTGTCCATTCCGACCTTCGTGACCTGAGTGCCCTGTGCGTGCACCCTGTGCGTGCATGTGTGTAATGTAGTTTGTAGTTGCAGATATATGTATATAATAGCTGACATATTTATATGTGAGTGCAGAATTAGTGCCTGTGGCAGTTTTCTGTATTTTAAGTGTATTGAATCAAACTTGTTTTATTTTTAGGGAAGGGAGGGCGAGAGGGGAGTGTGGGAGCGTAGGAAGAACTCTTAGCAAAGTCATTCTTTAGAACTACTAGTTGTAATTTCCCAATGAGCCTTCATGATGCCCTTTGCAAATAAATGTTAATGTTGTCACCACATGGCTGTTTGATTTCTTTAAATGGTTTTTTGAGATAAAAACAGAATCTTAAAATACCAACAGTATACTGCTGACATTTAGCCACCCCCACCGACCACTTACCTGGCTCAGAGGAAAGGATGTGGGGGAGAAGATGCTACCAAGGCGGAAACCAGGACTCACCACATGGGAGCATCCTGAGGAGGGCCCAGCCCATTCTTCATTCTAACTCATTTCCTATAACCTACATTGGGAAGACTTTAAGAATATGTCTGATCCCCACACACCAGGACTTCCCAGGGTGCATTCTGTATTTTCTCGTGTCGTGAACTCCACAGCATCAAATGTAGGGGTGGTAACGTTAAGTGCCACACACAAATGTTTCTCATCTGGCTTTGATGCACACCATGCACTGATACGTGTAATACAACTGACAAGTATGTATAAATCCCTCATGAATCCTAAGTATGTGACTGCAAACCTGCAACCCCAGCATTCTGAAAACACCACAAGGAGGCAGAAGAAACACAACACCTGGCTTCTGCCCTTCAAAGCATGGTAGAGGACTAGATACATGCACACAGCAAGACGTGCCCAAGTGCAGAGGCGGCTCACTACAGCAGGCGTGGCTGGACAAGAGCACGACTTGCCCAATGGAGGTGGACTTGGCCTGGGTTGGTGTTAAAAAAGGCAGCATTTGGAATGGTGGGGGAAGGTGGGCATTCCAGACGGTAGAGAAGGGGAGAGGAACAGTGAGACCAGTAGGCATGAAGCAGAGCCTTCATCTGGAAACAGGTTCGTAAGGAGAGTGAGCCTGGTTGACTGTGCCCTACATGCCTTCCAAAGTAGTTTGCAAATGATGGAAAATTGTGGGGGGAGAGCACTGTTTTGGCTTGTGAGCCAAGGAACGTGGGAGAAACAAGCTTTTGTACACATTAATATCAGTAATTAGTGTATGATGGGCTGGAAAGGAGAGTAACTGGAGACCAGCTATGATAGTATGATAGAGAGACAGATGACTAAGAATGAAGAGAAAGGCTGATGTAGGGCAGTACAGGAGCTGGAACACAGGAAGGGGGACATCAAGGCTTGAGCCTGAGGGAACGAAGCATCTGTGGAGACTGTATTAACACAGACGTGTGCCTCCGTGGGCGTGTGTATATAAGAGCACGGGTGAGAATGTGTCTGTGACTAGCCAATTGGAACTGATAGCAATTCTCACACTTGACCCCTCCGTTATAAAAGGATAATCACACCCATTTTCTCCTTTAATCCTCACCATAGTCCTCATACAAGTGAGGAGTAGATGAACTAAATCTTGAGAGTTCAGGACTTGCCTAAGGTCACAGAGAAATGGAAAAGTGTGCCCACAGTGTCCTGCGAGACAGCCCAGGGAGGCTTCCCAGAGGCGGGCAGGCCTCAGAGGGGTGCCCGCTGGCTGAGACCCTGTGGTCACTCCCGTAGGCTTCCTGCCTTTTGGCACACCTACCTTAACAGTCTTTTTCACCCAATGGAGGAGTGGAAAATGTAGCCATCCTAGGGGCATCCAAACCACTTGGGTCTCCTGAAGACCCACGTATTGGGTGAAGGGGGTGGCTTCTTTCCACTCTAGCTAATGAAATACCACTTTGCCAACGGAAACAGCTATGTCCCCCCGTAATGCTGCTCTTGGCTGGTGGGAGTGTATTGTCCCTTTATCCACCCGGCCTACAGTCAAAGTCAGGGTCGGCTGTGAAATGGAAAAGGTTTTATTTCCTAACTACAGGCAGCTCTACAAGGCTGAGTGCCTGCGGCTACCTCGGCCCCCGCGCGCTGAGGTCGGCCACGCAGCGAGGGCCGTGGCCCTCACTGGCCCTTCCTGTGGGCGTTCTTGACGATGGCGTTCTTGAACAGCGTCACCAGCGGCGTCTGGCTCTTCTCCGCCGTCATGAAGCCGCCGTAGCGCTTGTCCTTGGGCGGGCTGCCCCAGCGGAAGTGCTCCATGCGGTAGGGCCCGTCGTCCTTCTTCTCGGCCTCGAGCTCTGGCTCCAGGCCGTACTCCACATCGGGGCCGTCGAGGCCGTCGGACGCCACCTCGGGCCGCCCTCCGGCCAGCTCCCTCTTGAACTCCAGAGGGAAGGCCTCGGCCGACTCGTCCTCGGCGCCATTGGGGTACACCTTCACGGGGCGCCACTTCTTGCCCACCGGCTTGCCCCAGCGGAAGTGCTCCATGGAGTAGGAGCGCTTGCCCTCACGCGGGCCGGGAGCGCCGCCATCGCCTCCGCCCAGTACCGCCGTCTCCTCCTCACGCTTCTGCCCGGCGCCGCCTCCGCTGCTGCCGTTCCGGCGGCCAAAGCGGTCCCAGCGGAAGTGGCCCATGACGTACTTCCGGGGGTTCTCGGCCAATGGCTGCTCGTCGCCGTTGCCTGGGAACACAGGCGTCTCGGCCGAGAGGTCGGCCTTGCAGGCCCGGATGCACTCCTGGAAAACAGCGCGAACCCATGAGACCGCCGTGCCCCGCACGTGGGCCGCGCGGTCCTCTAGGCTCTCGTGGACGTCTTCCTGCTCTCCTTGCACGTGCCCTCTGTTGTCCCTGCACCCTTGCATAATTCTGCCCGGCGACGACAGCAGAAACGCCATCCCGCTCCCTGGTTTACCTGGCCATCCTCCCATAGCTTTCGTGAGCGGTCTTACCATTACATGCCTCATGTCTGTGAATTGCTCCCCAAAAAGCAAAGAGGCGGTTCTTGTTGGCATTTAATACTGAGTAAATAGATACAATCCGGCTCACGTTTGGAAGAGAATTACAAGGGATAAACGTCTGGCTTTCTAGGCCCTGTATTTTCAACAATTCCCCAATTTTACCCCAGTGATCTGAAAACCTTCGTGTCCTACCCCAACCCTATCCTTGCACCATGTCTCAAAACTCTCTTGCTTCCACTGGGTCATTTTCTCTGCTTCTTATGAGTTTTCTGAACGGATCTCCTTGAGCCTTCTCCCATCAGTGTACTTTCGAACAAGATAGTTCATCTCCCTGTCACCTCATTTTGACTGAAAGGAGCGGGGAAGCCAAAGTTATTTCCACTGCACATGCCATGGAGCTGCTGTCTTTACTCCCTGATCCCAGAGGACTCCAGGGTGTTACATATTTGTTAGGAAATGAACCCATAGGCTGCAGCTTTGAGTTTTTCGGTTGCTTGGGAATGACAGAGAAGAAAACAGAATACACCCACTTACTCAAATTGGGAATTTTCTATTCTGGGAATTTAGAATTATAATAAGGCAGAATGTTAACAGCGAAAAATAAAAACAATATAATTTAAGCTCCTCCTCCCTTGGATACATAATGAAACAGGAGGCTCAGAGAGATGAAAGGAACTGATCAAGGTCGCCCAGCTCACTAGTGACAGAAGGGCATGGTATCCTATGCACTGCCCCTGGTGAAGTCTCAACAGGACAGGCTGTGCAGTGAGTAGGTGTCTCAAGAATCTCTTGGATCTCTCTGCACTGGAACTCAGAATCCCTCAGGCTTCTGATTTCTATTTTATATTATACATGGGACCTGCTCTGTGACTTGAAAGAAGCCTCTCCCATCACCTAAACTCATTTCTCCACTGATAAAACACACAGAATGTAATGATGCATTTGGCAGGTACTAGGCACACACACATGCTTATGCACGCACACACACACATACCTGTGGTGACCTTGAAGGAGCTCCAGCCCTGGCAAAAAGAGCCTTTACGTGTTTCTGGAAAGGCTAAAAAGGAACTTAGCAAAAGGCCAGCCCTCCAGAAGAGGCACATTTGGTACCAGTTACTAAAAATAATGGTCCTTTTGGGTCTGGAGGTGTAGTTAAGTGGTATAGTGCTTGCCTATTATGTGTGAGGTCCTGGGTTTAATCCCCAGTACTGGGGGAAGGGGGCCTTGATTTTTCCTACTCCCTAAAGAAATGTTTTTTAGAAATACCTATCTAGTTTTGCAATTGATATTCGATAAAAGGATAAGAAATATGGAGTAAAAGTGGTAAGTGATATGAGGCTATTTGAAAAGGGATAATTTGAGGTCTAAGAGGTTGAAAGTGGAGGACTAATTGAAGGAGCAATTATCATCGACATGTCACTACCTCTAAATGGTTTAAATGGATTGGAATCTCCTTAGAAGACAGGTGGGGAGTAAGAAAATCAAGCAGAAGCTGTGAACCAGATCCATCTCTCTGCTCTTTTCTCCTCTCATTGGCCAAATTCTGACTTCATGGCAAAGTTCTGCTCCTGCCCTGGGTTATCCCAATCCCCTTCCAAATGCCCCTTTCTTTTGAGATGTCTCAGCCCCAGTCCCATCTGATGCCCAAACCAAGTTGCATCCATGGCCCACATACCAGCAGGTTGCTTTCCGTGGTGAGGTCCTGACACTGGCTGCTCTCCAGGCACCAGCCACGCACTTCCATGGAGGCCTGAAGCAGCAAGACCAGCAGCAGGGCCCCTGAACGACTGCTGCACGACCTCGGCATCTTCCAGGTGTAGGCTGAGGCTCTGCAGAGGCAAACAAGATTGGTGGGACCCCTGCAAGTTGCAGAACAATGTTGGCCAGTCACCAGGAAGGACCGGGAGCCAACATTAACAACACCCACTGCGCAGTCCAAGGCTTTTTGAGGACAGAAGTAGAGCTGTGGAGAAGTGAGATATGCAAGGTGGAGGCAGGAAGGGGAATAAGATGTGGGGAAACTATGGGAAATTTTCCCTCTATCTCCTGTTAAAACTAGACCCCTAAAGAGATCAGGGCTGGAAGCTGTTTGAGGGATCACTTGCTCCAGTCTCTCATTTGAGAGATGGGAAGATTGAAGCCCAAGAGAGATACTAACTTTCATATTCATGACCAGGTAAGGCTAAATTCTTCTGCTTCTAGCCTGTTGCTTTCTTATTTCTCTGTCTGGACAAAGCTATAGTTCTCCAAATGCAAGGGAGTAACTTGAGAGAGACAAAGGACTGAAATTCCCGCTCAGGATGGTCTTTTTCCCTCCTCCTCCACCAGAATCCTGTCGTTCCTCCAATACTCTATTTCCCATGAATATTAGATTCGCAAAAAGGCAAATAAAACTGGTCCATTTAGTCCAGATTTCAGGCAACTATTTGTCCTGTACACAAATCACTCAGGTGATATCATTTCCCAGACCCAATAACTTTAGAGAGATTTATTTTTTGTGATGTTGGGAATCGAACCCAGGGCCTTGATCATGTTAGGCAAGCACTCTGCTACTGAGCTACATCCCAAGCCTTTTAAGAGATTTATTTTTTAAAGCAGATCTCAATTCTCTTTAAACTGGCTCATCTTCTGACACATTACATGTCAGACCTCTTGTTCTCTGGATCTCACAAATAGCTGGACTTGTCAGAGGTGTCAGAGGAAAAAAAAAAAAAGATGGACAAAGAGACTGGAAGGGAGCTACCTCCAGTGTGAATGGCTACTGGAGATTCTATTGGAGAATCCAGGGAGCACCTCTGGGCACATGGTGTGGTCAAGAGGCCGGGGTGCAAGGCAGAGAGAAACATCCATAGTGTCTTTGTCCCCAGGTGCCTAGTCCTTTCTCCAGCACCCCTACCTCTTAGACTACCATGTTCCCCTCACCCAGATGGGCTCCTGAAACCACCCAGTCTGTAATCAGCTCACTACCAACTCTACAATCATTTTGGATTTCAGGAGATCTTCTCCACCAGCTGTTAGGGAGAAATTTAATTGGATGAGAAAATTAATTCACATTAAGGTGTGGATGACTAAGTGTCTTGTCACACTCCTAATGAGCATTTTCATTTTAAAATAAGTTTGCCTAAAAGAAATCTCTCATTTGAGGAGGCGTGGGCCAAATCTTTTTTGGAGGGGAGGCTTTGGAAGTGAAAGTCCTCCCTGGCCCTCATTGTCTACTTCAGGAAGCCACTCACTTCTCTCTGCCCCACCCATGCCCCACTCCCCAAGAGCTGGGCCAGTTCAGGGCTTGCTTCTGAGTGGTTGCCAGGCACCTGCTGAGCGTTTTCATAGCAACCATTAGATGGCGCTAGCAGCCAGTGAGCTGGCCCAGCAGCACCTCTGTCCAAGGGGCAACTGGGAGACCTTGGTCAACCTTGCTTCCCCTCCTAACCAGGGACAGGCTGCTCCTGTTGTAGCCTGCTGACCTCCGGTTCAAGCAGGCAGCCTGAACTTGGTGGACAATTCAATTAGATCAAAGTGCTGAGATCACGCAGCACATTCAGGTCAGGAAAATATCCAAGTGTTACTGGAGAAGCAGAAAAATGGTAGTTAGTATAAAATAACATAATGGGGGGTGGAAGGAGACAGGTCTGACAGTCCCCTCAGCTACATTTCGGTTCTCTTCAAAGCCGGCCATTGTGGAATGAGCTCTGTTTTCTAGGGTCTGCATCATGATTTCAAGCCTCTCTGAAAAGTCCGCAGGGAGCGTTTCCTCTCCTTTTACCCCACAACATACTAACATTCCCACTCCCTACCCTTCTCAGAGCTCCTGTTCTACTTGTTAAAATTTAGATGGTTTTCCAAAAGCAACTTCCTGTGTTTTTGCTTATATATATATTTTTCTCTTTCTACAATGAATAATATTTTTTTATTTGTGTGAGTTTTAGAAAGCAAACAAAGTACTGGGAAACATCAAATGTTGTGTTTTTGTAAGTAAAAGTGTAATAATCCAAAAATTGTAATGCCTAGAAAACAGAGACTTAAAATTTGTCCATATTGACATTAACTTTACAATAGAATTACATTTATTGGGATTTCGTATGTGGGGGAAACTATACTAAACAAACCATTATGTTTGTTTTTTTAAAACTCCACACTGGCATGCCTTCTGTAAAGATCAGGGGGGCAGAGGTGTGGTTTTGTCCTTGTACCATAACACATATGCATCAAGTCCTATAACAGTCAAAGGAATATTATATCATTAAATTAGCCATACCTTATAAACTGACAAAACATACTTTTATTTTCCTTAACTTCTTCCATTGTGTGAAAAACACCCCTGCCCCATTTATACATGGAGAAATTGGGGAATCCAAATGCCCAACAGGCTGTCCCTCCTTCCTTGGAAATGCCCTGTGCCCGAGCATCTGTCAGTCCAAAAGGCTGCCCCTCGGCCACCCAGGCTCTGCAGCCCTGTTGAGGGCATCCTAAACCAGACGGTGTTTCAGGACCGTGGACAGTTCCCGCCCGTCCACCTGTTTTTAACCCCAGCTGGGTCTTGGAGAGACAGGCTCTACTGTCCTGTCTTGAAATTGACTCCGGAGTCGTGTGATTATCGTAGCGCAGCAGCCTCGGGTGTGGTACGGTGGGCAGGGAAGCGAGGATCTCAGGGGTCTGAGACCAAAAAAAAAAATCTGGCCAGCAAATTGTGGCTTAGCCCTTTCCTATGCCCCTCTCCAACGTCAGTTTTCGGTAGAGTATGTGGTGCCTTACTTTGAAGAAGCGTCCCAGAAAATCGGGAAGAAGAAGAACCTACAGGGGAGCTCTCCCAAAATCTCCCCCGAGGGTGGCCAGAGTCTAAGAGCTTGGAGGCACCACCTGCGGCATCGCAGCCCTTCATCCACCACGGTCGGTGGGTCAGTCGGTCTGTCGGTCGGGACACAGCCCTCGCCGCTTAGAAAGTTTACAAAGGACGGCGACGAGCCAGCCAGAGGCGCTCGATCAGCCTTGGGCTGGCCGCAGGCTTCCGCCGCGGCGCCCTTACCTGTTGCGGGGAGGCTGCGCTCTGCGGGCAAGGATGCTCGGCCGCCTCTGTCCGGCGCTTCTCCTCCCTTCTTTCTCCTCCTTCGCCGCTGCTTGGTCCCTGTCGCTGTCCTCAGCCCTTATATACTTGCACGGCTCGCGGGGCGAGCGTTGGACGTGACCTGCCTGGCAGCGCTTCTGCGGCGCAACGAGCAGCTCGCCGGGCCAGGGGAAGGGGGGCCGCGGGGCGCGGGAGGGGGGCTTCCAGGTAGCGGCTGAGCAAAAGGACAGCGGAGGCCGGCATTAGCGGGCACTAGTGGCCCGTGGGTGGTTACGAAGAACTTAATTAAGGAGGTGTTGAGCCTCCACTTAGGACGCGCGGGAGACTTAGCACCCCGGTGTGGAGCAGGCCTGGTGCGCCTCTGAGGTAGTTGAGGCCAGGGTGAAATTACCTGTGTGCGTGCTGGGGCGGTATCTGCCTGGCTGGCATTTCGTAAATATCACCACCAAGGGAGTGCGTCTGTTATGCCTCAGCTTTCCCCACCGTTTGGAAACTCTGATGTAGTGGGGAGTTTCAATCACTTTGCTTTACTTTGGGGAGGGAAGGACAGAGCAAAGGAGGTCGGGAGTCACTCACCTGAGGCCCAGGGCAGGTGGTCTCTTGAGGTATGGATGTGAGTTGCCCTGCCGCTGGGCCTGCTCTCGAACTGTTCACCTAGCCCATTTACCAAGAGGGGCAGCTGTCAGTGAAAAGCAGCAAAGGTCCTTCCCCTGTGATCATGAGCTGGCAGACTAGTCTGGGGACCTTTAACATCTGGCCTGGCCCAGGAATTCTGGCTTGCCCCTAGGTGCCAAGGTCAGCTAGGAAGAAGAGGACAGCACGCTAACGTGCAGTAGAACAGTCCACCCGAGGCAAAATCAAATTGTGTGACGTGCTATGCGTGGCTCAGAGGAGCATTGGACTAAACTGGGCCTCAACAGAGCTGTTTGCTTAATCTGCCAACTTCAGGAACTTTCTTTATTCCCCATTAGAGGCTTTTGAACTTCAAGACTCCCTTGATAATTCAGCTTTTCTGGTTGGCGACACTGACTTTATGTTCAAGGAGCTTTTCCTTTGGGGCCACAAAAGAGAACCAGGCTCCTTAACAGTAAGCAAGGTGCTTTATCTCCTGACCTTGGCCCCTCCCCAGAGTCATCTCCCCACTCTCCATCTTGCATCCTGACTCCTTGGTCACCCCCAGCATTCACACTCCATGAACACTACTTTCCCTCTAACTAAAACATCCTTCCTTCCTCCCAACATCTGGAAATTTGGACTCACATTAAGATTTAGCATTTCATCAGCTGTCCTCCTAAACCCTCTTTTGCAGCTCTTCCTACCAGGACCAGGAGAAACAGCTTTCTCTGTTCTCCATTCCTGTCTTGTCTGCACGTGCAGCTTGCGCTGCTTAGGCTAACTTACTTCTCTCTTCTATCTTCTCTCTTCCATCTACACCTTCCCCTACTACCACCAGGCTTGTAAGCTCTTTCAATCACGTGGTGATTTTTGTCTTATTTTTCTTTGCTGTATTTTTGTAACTTTAGGAGGCAGCTGGTGGTAGCATAAGTCAGATCAGGAAAAGTTCAGATCGGCCCAGCTTCAGTCCTGCTCTCTTATCCTGGTTCTTAATTACATGTAGAAGAACCCATTTTGGCTGATGTGAACTCAAATGTCATTGAACCACATAAGGAACCACTGGGCAGGCTGTGAAAATGAGCAGGACAAAGTGTGGCTGGGATCCAACAGAGAAAGGAAAGCAGATCAGT